ATAGCTAATAATTTGTATCTATGTTGATGTCATAAACTAAAATATATATTTCAGGTGTTTTTTAAGTCACATCACTTTGGTATCTAAGCACAGGTATTTTACTTGTTTGGTTTTTTGTCATTAAGTCATTTGCATGTATTTTGTGTTCTAGGCATATTATATACAGTAAACAACAAACTCTAACTAAATACATAAATATATTTTAAAAATCAGAACTCTAAATCCTTCCCAACAAGCAGCATGGCTTGTCTCATTACCTCCCTCCCATCCGTAATCATTCCTCCTCCCCCAGGAAAACCTGTCATAACAAGCAAATATTCCATCATGCCCTAAATGTCACCACATTTGAGACTTAATGACCCAGTGTTGGAAGGCAGTTCCAAAACCAAGGGCAGCTAATTCAGAATGCACTTCCCCCTAGCCCTCTCCCAATTATATCAGTGGGCAAGCAGCTCCAATGCCTCAACTGATCTCTATCACTGCTATATCATTTGGAGAGGTGGTAGTTCTCAGGGAGACTGGGCCTAAATTATCTAGACCCTTTCAGGTTTTTTTAAAAAGTTCAGGTTTAAAAAACCCTCCAAAATTCTAGGCATTTGCTGCTATAAGCGTTTCAGCATCTTGTCTGTTGTGTTTAGATTGTAAGAAACCGATTCTTTACTGCCTTGTAAGTAGTCTGCACATCTGTGCAAAATTGATGTAAATGTCAAGGACTCAAACCTTCTATTATATCAGAATAGTAGAATTTTACACTCAGTTTGCCGAGTGTAAAAAAAAAAATGGAAAATCAGGCTCTAAATTTTCAGAGCTTGGAACTCAGTGTTCAGTCTTTTGTAGCACCAGACATGGTTGTTGGCACTTAACAAAAATGAATGTTAATTTGCAAGTTTGAGGTCTAGATATTTACATGTAAAATAATCCCATGTCATTGACTGAATATACTGAAGAATTGTAATTAATATTTCCTGCTGATATCAGAAACCACACAACGTAATTTGAGCAGTACTTTGTAACATAGTTACTGTGCTGGCTCCTACAGACAGCCCCTAAAGACTGTGACTTTTCCCACATGGAGGGAAAGGAACCTTGTTTTAGGAAGGAACTCAATAGAGAAGATTAGGGTGGGGGTATGCTTCCTGCTTGAGAAGAGAGCATAACTGTTTGGTAACTGTAATCAGCAGCAGCCTGGGAGCTGCCTCTCTACCCTATTGCAATAATAAACAGATGTAGTTCTGTTGTTTATTGAGCTCATGCTTGCATCATTATTCCTAAGGCTCTGGCTGACTGTGCTAACCCATCAATAAGTAGACTGTAAGGTCGTGTAACCATATTAAGTTAAAAAAAATAAATAGCTTTGTCTATTGTGCAGTCAAATGTGAAGAGAAATGTGAACATGAAATAAGAGGACACATTGGTAGGAAATTAACAGTAAGATTTGAGAATAATATTTTTTCTTTTATTTAAAATATGTTCTGGTGATAGAATAAATATAGTGCTAGAATTAACAAATTAGACATGACAAAACAATGGTTCTGATCATAGGGTCTCAGTAACATACAATAAAAATACGGAAATATACTGTAGGTCTTAGTCTATAAAATAGTATTGTGGGGATTTAAACTGCTACTATAGGTATACAGAAAGAGGAAAAGTCAGTAGTGCAGTGTATTATTTAGGATAAAAATGAGCTGCCCGATTGCTTCCATAAGATAAGATCATTTCACATACTCATACTTGTTAAAATCAATTTTAATGCTTTAATGGAATAGGTACAATTAAAAGTATATCAGTAAAACTGACCCCTTCTGATATCAAGTATTTTACATGTACCGAAGGGATTTGTTTTCTTTGTATTCACGTGACAACAAATCAGCATCATCACCATTGTTTAACAACACTATCTCTTGAAGACTGTTTCCTTGAATCCCCACTGTTCCTTTTTCCTTGAAATTTAGCTCACCCTGGAGATGGGTCAAAGTAGGGTATGTGTACATTTCTTCACATTAAAAGTGTTGCTGGACACTCTCTTTCTCTCTCTTTTTTTTTTAAAGTGAAACTTAGGGTATATAATTGGCCCATCTTCACTTTTTCTTAAAATAAAAATGATTTTATTATGTGTAAGAAACCAAAAATATTAATTTGTGAGATGTAGTTTAGATTGAATGATTTGATACAAACAGTGAATACTGTATTAGTAAATATACTATAGTATATTTTGTAAACATAATTAAGTCTTAGTCTACTACACTCTACTAAAATTTTAATGAGAAGAAGGAGACGTTCACCATTTATTGGGCATGGTTAGGCCGTCAGAGGAGACATCCCACTGAAGGAGAGTGCTCAGGTAAATAGAGGCACACTAGAATCGTTGGACTGGAACGGACAGTGATAGGTCATCTAGTCCAGTCCCGTCATTTCAAGTGCTTCAGTGTTTGTCTGCAGGAAGGGGACCACAATTGTGTGTATCAAAGTCCACTGCAGATATTTTCTTTCTAAATTAGGAATGTATTTGGTGTACTTTTGTCTGCTAAGTTTGTAAAATCACAAATGTCAGAACTCAGAGATTTATTCATATACACACAGAACACCTTACTTTTCTCCTCCATTTTTCAAAAGCACTTTAAATTTTAGTTTTCCTTTTTGTTATTGGAAGGTGCCTGGGGACAGTGTTTGGTTTCCCATGTGAAGAGAGAGCTGGGATCAAACTAGTCTCCCTTTGTCCCCATGGCTGCATACAGTCATGTGGACTATAGGTTAGGCCACTACTATCACTGGATAGCTGAGCAGGAATAACTGTTAGCATGGATCTGTAATTATAGTCAGCCTCATAGGTAAGTAGCAAAGTGAGGAGCAGTGCAAATGTCCCTTTTATGCTATTTAACACAGCAGAGCAAATAATGATGGTTTAAGAATCAATTTAGTTTAATTCAACTTAATCATTAACTATTCTCAAGTTAACTGAAAAATGTTAGCATTGCCTTCCCTTCTTTGACAATCCTCTTTCTTGGCTCGTTAGAGTTTCTTGGCTGGCTTGTCAAAGACCTCTGGAATATAGATTGGCTTGTGTCATGCCTTATTAGAAAATCATGAAGTCCAATTTTCTAAGATCAATCATTTTATATTGCTAGAAAAAAATGGTTTTTACTTGGGTGGGGGGAAATCACTGATAAATATTAACTTCTTAACCAAACTAAAGCAAAATTGAGTATTTGAACATATATAATGTATTTTAAAGAATAGCATGTAGCCATCCACTGAGTAACATGGGCTGTGAGTTTTATGATAATAACATCAGCCAAAATTTAGTCAGTTTGAATAAAGGCATTTTTTGTGGCTTGAAGCAGCAGCATCTTTCATTTTTCTTTCGAGTTCGAATCATTTTGGGCCCTAATGTCAATAGTGTACACTCAGAAATTTTTTTTTAAGTGAAAACTATAAAATATGAGGGGTAAGCCTGGCTCCCCTTGGCATCTTCAGTGGGGCCAGGATTTCACCCTGGTGTTTTAAAAATGTGTGTTTGACTTTTTATGGGTCATTCTTTCAAAAAAGTAATATGACAAGCTGTGGCTATAGCACTTTTTTGTTTGTTTGTTTTGCAGTTAGTGTGGTTTTTCACTGTCCCTCAACTTTTGCTTTGTATGCAATTTTGTAACAATGGCTAGTTTGTACTGAAAACATACTAAAAATTTTCAATGAGTCACTTTGTTTAAACATACGTCCACAAAATAGGCTATTTTCAAGTCATTATTGGACTAAATACTAAATTTTGAGTAGATTTGCTCTTTAAAATGTCTTTCTATATCTAATATATGTATCTTATTTTATTTATTGTAAGTATTTTAAATACAAGATAGAGAAAAGAGACAGCCCAAACACTACACAGAGAAACTTGTCTCAATATGAACAAACAAAAATGGATGGAAAACTTTAACCTTCCAAGTTTGATTCAAGGTTTCTTTTCTTTTCTTTTCTTTTCTTTTTGCGGGGTGGGGGAACAAAGTAAATAAGCCAAATCCAAAGGGAGAATATCATGACCACATTGGAGCACATGTCAATGTTATTTAGTTGCTGTGCCGTGAGAGAACAAGTGCAAGTTGCCTTTCTCAGCAAGGATGATTTCCCTCCCCTCTTCTTCACCCTCCAAATGTGAGAGTAGATGCTAAATACGATGCCCACTCTCAGTCTGGGAAAGGATGCAGATTTTTTTTTCCAATGGTTCAGTACAATTCTTTTGTATATGCTAAGGAGTATGAGGACACATTGTTTTCAGGGAAGATGGTATTGGGAGACATAGTTTAACTGAAGGGATGTGCGGCACTTTAGTGCTTCTGAAAAGTGAGTGCAGATGGCTGTGTACGTGAGGTCAGTCATGTGGAAAATTAAAATATCTTGTGATGAGGTAAAGAAGTGGCAGCATCTCCAGTGGGTTGCAGATTCTGTGCATTTTGTAGCCTATGAAATGGTGATTGTGTGATCATCTGTTCACATTTTGGCAAAGTTCAACTTCCTTTCTCAAGCCTCCTGTTTTTTCACTTGACATTTGAATATCTGTTAAAGCCATGTTCAAACACATCCCTGAACCCATCCCCTCCCCAGTCAACAAGTAGTTGCTAAGTGCTGTCTATTACTCATCCCTCCCATCATTTAAATTGCAATGGAATGAAGAACTTGGAATTGCTCAGGTGGATGAAGCCTGTACATTAAATTTCAAAATATGTGGGGTTTCCGATTCATGGGTGGCCAATCAAGTACAGCAGTTTTTATATATGGTGGACCTTTGCATTAGCTGTGCTTTTCAGATGGTTTGCTTTTAACAATGGTTTATGAAAATTTAACTTTAGAAGTATATGTCTTCTGCGGGCACTACACTATTTATGCACTGTTTGCAAGACAGGTTTTATTTTAATTTTCACATACACATACTAAATCATGTCATTTTCAACATTTTTCGCAGCCTTAATAATGATGATTTATTTTTGTTTCTTACTCTCATTTTGCAGAGTTACATACATGGGAGCAGTCAGGCTCAATTTGTTGCAGAATCACATATTATACTACTACTGAGTATCCTTCAGAAACCGATGGCTAGAACAAGGCTAGCTAAATCAGAATATGCTATTATATGAAATTGCTGTGACAGTGAATATCATTGAAGCTTTGAACAGGTATTGCATTTTCACTTTATTTACTTTATGATTAAGCAGATACCTAGTGAGTGTTGTTGCTGTTTACTATTGGGGAATGCTGGAGCTGCTGTCTCCTACTATGTATCTATTTAACTGCCAACTCTAAAAATCTGCCTGATACAGTACTATTTTATATTTTCCCTTTCTTTTCAATCTTTAAATCAGCAGAATTTTTTCGTTTCTTTTCTCTTTGTGTTGTCTCTTAATTTTAAAACTATTTTGTCTCAGCTTTCAGCTCTGTTAAATGTTGAGAAGAATATACGTATTTTCTAGTTTGGAAAAATAGAAAAAATATCTATGAAAAGAGATTATCCTTTCAGAGCTCTTTCTATGGAAAAGACACACCTGCCTAGATGGTTCCTTGTTTTCACTGACTTCTTCAATGGATAAATGGGCCACTACAGTTCCCATTAATGTCAAGGGGAAGACTCTGAGGAACTTGAGTGGGAGTTAGATGAAGACCTGCGTGAAAGTTTCTGTAAAGATAAACCTTTCTCACCTGGGTCGCATGGGGAGGTGCAAGAGAAACAAATCATATTCCTCAGACTGTGGAACAGCAGCCAAAACCTTAGGGTTTGGTAATCACTTTTCTCCCTCCCAAATTTTGAGGGTTCAGTAAGTGGATCCACACTGATGTTGATCCATAGCCCCTGTCCTATAGATTCCAAAGCCCTCTTCATGATTGTTCAGTGGTGCTTGAACAATTTTTATAGCGCTGAAAGTGGAAATCATGTATTTGGGTTGTTGTTACTGCTTCATACCAGAGAGTATGGCAGCACCACTAGCACCCCTAGTTCCAGCACCTATGGGTGGTCCCCCACAAGCATACTTCATGCCCCTACATAGTGATCCACTGTCTGGGCTCCCCACTCCATGCAGTGAAACCACATCAGTTTTTCTGCCTATTAGGTCTTATGTGCCCACCAGATGGTCAAGGGCAGATTTAGCCCCCAGGTCCTGATCTTATGCACACTGAAGTCAATGGGAGACTTCCAGTGAACTCCATTGGTCTTTGCATCAGATAACTATGCATCAAGCTGAGAATATATACTTTTGAATAGATGAAAGTATTTTTATGTGTTCTTAATTTCTAAATTTGCTGTTTTTGTTTTTAATATAAGGTTTTCAAAAGGTTTAAAGATTGATAAATGTACTTGAAATGTGCGCATTGAAGATTAGTGTTGGAAGAAACCTCAGGAGGTCATCTACTCCAACCCCCTGCTCAAAGCAGGACCAACCCCAACTAAATCATCCCAGCCAGGGCTTTGTCAAGCCAGGCCTTAAAAACCTCTAAGGATGGAGGTTCCACCACCTCCCTAGGTAACCCATTCCAGGGCTTCACCACCCTCCTAGTGAAATAGTGTTTCCTAATATCCAACCTAGACCTCCCCCACTGCAACTTGACACCATTGCTCCTTCTGTCATCTGCCACCACTGAGAACAGCCGAGCTCCATCATCTTTGGAACCCCCACTTAAGGTAGTTGAAGGCTGTTATCAAATCCCCCCCTCACTCTTCTCTTCTGCGGACTAAACAAGCCCAGTTCCCTCAGCCTCTCCTCATAAGTCATATGCCCCAGCCCCTGATCATTTCCAATTGCTCTCTCCCAATTGTCCACATCCTTTCTGTAGTGGGGGCCCCAAACTGGCCTCAATACTCCAGATTTGGCCTCACCACTGCCGAATAGAGGGGAATAATCACTTCCCTCAAACTCCTACTAATTAGCTCCTACTAATGCAGCCCAATGTTCCTTCTTGGCAACAAGGGCACACTACTGACTCATATCCAGCTTCTCATCTGCTGTAATCCCCAGGTCCTTTTCTGCAGAACTGTCGCTTAGCCATTCGGTCCCCAGCCTGTAGCAGTGCATCGGATTCTTCCGTCCTAAGTGCAGGACTCTGCACATGACCTTGTTGAACCTCATCAGATTTCTTTTGGCCCAATCCTCCAATTTGCCTAGGTCACTCTGGACCCTATCCCTATCCTCAAGCATATCTACCTCTCCCTCCATCTTAGTGTCATCTGCAAACTTGCTGAGGGTGCAATCCATCCCATCATCCAGATCATTAATAAATATGTTAAACAAAACCGGCTCCAGGACCAACTATTGGAGCACTCCGCGTGATACCGGCTGCCAACTAGACATGGAGCCGTTGATCACTCCCCATTGAGCCCAACAATCTAGCCAGCTTTCTATCCACCTTATAGTCCATTCATCCAATCCATACTTTTTTAACTTGCTGGCAAAAATACTGTGGGAGACGATATCAAAAGCTTTTCTGAAGTCAAGATATATCACGTCCATTGCTTCCCCCATATGCACAGAGCCAGTTATCTCATCATAGAAGGCAATCAGGTTGGTCAGGCATGACTTGCCCTTGGTGAATCCATGTTGACTGTTCCTGATAACCTTCCTCTCCTCCAAGTGCTTCAAAATGGTTTCCTTGAGGACCCGCTCCATGATTTTTCCAGAGACTAAGGTGAGGCTGACCGGTCTGTAGTTCCCCGCGTTCTCCTTCTTCCCTTTTTTAAAGATGGGCACTATATTTGCTGTTTTACAATCATCCGGGACCTCCCCCGATTGCCACGAGTTTTCAAAGATAATGACCAATGGCTCTGCAATCACATCAGCCAATTCCCTCAGCACCCTCGAATTCATTAGCTCTGGACCCATGGACTTGTGCATGTCCAGCTTTTCTAAATAGTCCTTAACCTGTTCTTTCACCACTGAGGGCTGCTCACCTACTCCCCATACTGTGTTGCCCAAGACAGCAGTGAGGGGGCTGACCTTGTCTGTAAAGACTGAGACAAAAAAAGCATTGAATACTTCAGCTTTTTCCACATCATCTGTCACTAGGTTGCCTCCCCCATTCAGTAAGGGTCCCACACTTTCCCAGACCACCTTCTTGTTGCTAACATACCTTTAGAAACCTTTCTTGTTACCCTTCCACATCCCTTGCTAGCTGCAACTCCAGTTGTGTTTTCGCCTTCCTAATTACACCTCTGCATGCTCGAACAATATTTTTATACTCCTCCCTGGTCATCTGTCCAAGTTGCCACTACTTGTAAGCTTCTTTTTTGTGCTTAAGCTCACTGAAGATTTTTCTGTTAAGTCAAACTCGTCGCCAGCCATATTTACTATTCTTTCTGCACATCGAGATGGTTTGTTCCTGTGCCCTCAATAAGGCTTCTTTAAAATACAGCCAGCCTTCCTGGACTCCTTTCCCCCCTCATATTAGCCTCCCAGGGGATCCTGCCCATCAGTTCCCTAATGGAGTCAAAGTCTGCTTTTCTGAAGTCCAGGGTCCGTATTTTGCTACTCTCCTTTCTTCCTTTTGTGATGATCCTGAACTCAACCATCTCATGGTCACTGCTGCCCAGGTTGCCACTCACTTCTATTTCCCCTACCAATTCTTCCCTGTTTGTAAGCAGCAGGTCAAGAGGAGAATGGCCCCTGGTTAGTTCCTCCAGTAGTTGCACCAGGAAGGTGTCCCCAACACTCTCCAAAAACTTCCTGGATTGTCTGTGCACTACTGTATTGCTCTCCCAGCAGATCAAATCAAAAGTTTTTTCTGCTTCACAGCTTCTCTCCTCATTCATAACAAATAGGTGATGCCTCTCACCTGTGGAATTTGGAGGTAGTCCAAAGTTGTTGTTGGAGGCTCCAGGACTGAGCCCTGCCCTTCAACTCAGGGCACCAGAAATTCTGCCTCTAGTGATGGAACAAGATGGAAGTTCAGCAGTGCTGGAGTCCTTAAAAATAGTGTGTGGAATGGAATGGAATGCCTCAGGAGGGAGCAGAAGGGAACAGAGGATCATGGGAGGAGCTGAGCGAAAGATAGGGTACTGGGGGAGGACCAGAAGAGGAGGTGGTGACTCCCCTCAGATTCCATCTCGTCCCTGTCTGTGTCCAGCTTCTGCTGCCCATGGGGCTCTATACTATTCAGGTGACCCCATTATCTGGCTCCTAACATCACCTGTCTCTAGCTGTGCCCTTAGCTCCTGGTGGTTCCTGCCTCCATGTTCCCCAGCCTGTTCCTGGCTCCAGTTTCTCTTCACTGACCTGCCACTGAGCACTGTGTGCCAGTGCCTGGAACTTCCCAACTTGGAGGATGCTCTGCAGCCAGGGAGGCAAAGGAGCCTGGCCTGTGACCAGCAGATGTACCGATATGCCATGTTGGCATTTCAGAGTAGTCTGGCACAACTTAAGCACTGAGTTCAGTTGCTTCTCACCACTTTTTCATAAGTTGTTGTTGCTGTTGTTCAATATCTACTTTATTTCAGCTTGTAGCTCCCCTCTTCCTCTCCTGAGCTGAGTTACTGCAGCAGCAAGAGTTTCTCCCTCTGCTCTCCCTAGTAGAGCACAGCTCTAGCAGGCTCCCTGTGCCACCACAACAGTGATAAGGAAGCCCTGCAATCTACAAGACAAATGTAAGTGTTCTAGGTAGCATTTCAGGAGCCTCATAGAGGGAGCTATACCCTGTTGCAAAAAAACATCCTATCCTTGTTCTGCCAGGGCATGGAGTTTCAGAGGGTTTGTGATGCCCGGCAGCCACAAGCCATCAGCATTCTCAACTCTTTCATTGCGAGTTATGTGATTTTGGCCCCTTCTGGAGTCAGTCTCACAATGACTCGAGACACTCCAGTCCCTGTATGACTGAGCCCTGTGCAAGGAAGATCCCCCTCTGATTTCCCCATCTCCTGGGGAAGAGCAGCCAGTCAGGGCTGCTGTAGGAATGTTCATGATTTTTGACTGTGGTGTTGGCAATACTGAACCACTGACCCTCACGTTGCCTGGGAATGAAGGTTTCAGTCAGATTGACGTGCAGCTGGGAGGTGTGATTTCCAGTGCGGGAAGACAGACAGCTCTGCTCAAGCT